CGCACGCGCCCCCGCGCCCACGGAGCCCCGCGCCCGCCCTCCTCGCGCCCGCCCCTCGCGCGGCTCCGTTTGCATCAGTCGCTCACGTAGCGGGTGACGCGAGCGCCCCCCGCCCAGCCGTCCAGGCGGCACCTCGAGTCCTGGTGACTCAGCTCCTCCCACTCAGCCCCCGCGCCAGGCACCCGGGTCCCCGCACGCCCACGCAAACGCTCCGGATCGCGCGTCCGCGGCGGGGCGCCGGGTGCCCCAGGCCAAGCAGATGGCCGTTGTGGGCAGTCCCGCAGAGCCCAGCCAGAAATGTCCCTGAGGAAAGTATTCCCGGGACCCAGCCCGGGCTGTGCGGAAAAGAGCGCGCGGAGCAGGGCTGGCTTACTGCCTCCACGCCCGCCTCGGTTCCCCCGTAGTTCATCTGCCTGGATGGGGGTCCTTGTCCCCAGCTGAGCCGCGCACGCTTCGGTCTCCTTCGCCTCCGCGCACTGTAGGTGTCCGGCGGGCTCTGGCCAGGGGAGGGCAAGGGATAGCGAAGCACAGACTACCGGAAAGCGCGCGGCCCCGCGGGTTCCCGGTTCCCCAGTCTTCTAGCGCTCTCCTGAGCCTCGAGACCCGGGCTTTGGGATTTACATGCAAGAGTTGGAAAATTCACGTGTTTCTTTCTGGCTCCCGAAGCACCCGATGCGGATGCTCTCCCCTCCCGCCACCCGCACGTCTGCAGAGTGGTCCCCACTGAAAAGTTGAGCCCGCGGCTGCGGCGCGCGTTCAGGTCCCGCGCCCCGCCCGAGGTCTGGGCTGCTGGTGTGGAATCGGCCTCCCCTTGCTCAGCGAAGCCCCAGCCCCAGTGAAGGAACGGGGAAAGCCCTGCAGATGCAGCACCCCCATGCCCCGGGAATCCCAGCTGGTGCGCCCTCGTTTCTGTACCTGCCCTCAGCGAACCCGGGGTCCCTCCAACTGCTTTACCCCCGATTTTCCGGCTCCCACCCGCCGGAAGCCCCAAGCACCTGCAGCCGCTTTCCTTGGGCCAAGTGGGGCAAAGTTGCTCCTCCGCTAGATTGCAAAAGTTCCCCAGCTGCAGCGCCCGGCGTCCGCGTCCGGAAGGCAAGTCCAGCTGAGCGCGAAGTCCCGCCGCCGCCGCCCTCGCCGCCGGGGACCCCTCACTCACCGCTCCCGCTGCCGGGGACCCCCTCCCCGAGTGGTGTCAGCCGCCGGGCGCCGCTCCGACTCCTTCCCCGGCCGCCTCCGTCTGCCACTGTCTCCTGCGGCGCGCGGAGCGGTGACTCCTCCGAGCGTGTCAGCGGCAAGAGGAGGGGCGGGAAAGTGGCTCCGGGCTCGCACGCTGCGGGCCTCCGCCTCCGCCGCCGCCTCCGCCTCCGCCTCCGCCTCCACCGCCGCCTGCCTCCTCCCCTAGTGCTGCAGTGCCGGGCGCGGCGTGGCGGGAGTACACGCGCTGCGCAAGAGGGAGTCACGGCGTGCGGGGGCGGCGGCGCGGGCGGGGGCGCGCCCCGAGGGGCTGCGGGTGCAGGCCCGGCTGGGCCCACCTCGGAGTGCCGGTAATTTTGGGAAAGACAGGGCTCGGAGTTTGTAGCTAGGTGAGGAGTGGGGAGCCGGTCTGTAGTCACTGAGTGTGACTGTGCGTGGCCCACATCGCCGCGCAGGGGAAGGTCCCGCAGACGCAAGGCAATCTTGCCACTCTTTCTGGGCCCCACGCTGACTTGTTAACTTTGACGTGGTTTTCAGGGAGTCATCAGAGGTAACATGGTTGATCCTTCCCCAGACCCCAGTCCGCACCGCACGCAGGCATCAAAGCGGAGAAGAAACTTGGGGTGCAGCCGGAGCAGACAAAAGGAAACTTCCCTGGGTGTCTGGGGTCTACCCAGTAACGGGTAAGGCCAGGCAGCTGGGCTTACAAACAGACGTTCAAAATGACCCCTCGGGAGAAAATCACTGAATTTTTTAAAAGCCAAAGAATTGCTCTTGTGCCCTTAGGAACAGCTCTCCTCTGAAGTGCTAGGGACCCAGCTCGAGCATCACTGTTTACAGGGCACAGCGCGGGGCTGGGAGACAAACGCACCTGCCCAAGGCCACACCCAAACCTGGTGTGTCCGCCGCGCGGGGGCCTGGAGGATGTCGCCTTCCCCGGGGCGGCCACCCTGGGCACCCGGTACCCAGATGCTGGGGGAAACGGGCATGCCAAGGGCTCTAACCCTGCTGGCTCCGCACGCACAAGGAGCCCGTGTGGGGCGGGAGGCGGCCGCACTGGCGCGCGCCTTCCCCACAGTCATCACTCTTGTGGTGGTGGTGGTGACCCAAGCGAGACAAAGCGCAGCTCCGGGGTGGGCTGGTGGCTGCAACGCACACACACCATCTCTCGGCCGGTGCTTTTCATCTGTGTAAATGTGTCTAGATGGGAAACGGATGGGTGAATGGGTTACTGTGTGGACGTAAATATAAGCGTTCCGTGTAAATGTGCTGGAGGAGGGGAGCTCCCCCTCCTGGGCGGGTGCGGGTACGGGTGCGGGTGCGGGTGCGGGTGCGGGGGGCGGGGGCGGTGCATCCTCCTATCTAGACAAGCTGGTGGGGATGGTGTGGTCCGCCCAGGTCTGTGAGGTGCCGGGGCTCCAGCTCCTGGGCTCAGTTTGCGCCTGGCGCAGAATGCTGTCCGAAGAAAATGGAGCCGACCCTTAGCCTCTCGCCTTTCCTCCTGGGCGGGGCAGTGCAGGCTCTGGGGAACTTTCGGTTAGGGTCCCAGTGTCCTGTTGCACTTGTACTCTAGGAGGTCAGGAAAGCCTGCCTGGCTTTTGTTTGGTTGAAAGCTTTGCAGTTTGCCACCGCGTATGCGAGATGGTCCAGCAGCGTGAACATTAGTGAACGTACTCACACTGTGGGGATTTGTCCTCGTGTGGAATCTTATGCAACACACTAAATAATTATTTAAGCTCCAATGCTTGTGTTGTGACTGTAAACAAATATATGCCCCGTATGCCTGTGAATACAGCATTGGAAATAAAATTGTGAAATTAAAAAAAAATTATAAACCTTCTCAGGAGATTCCACATACAATATATAAAATTTTGAGCTCCCTCCAGCAAAATGTGCTGATAATTCATTCAGGTCCCAAATGGATATCCCCCTGAGCACTGCCCTCCCAAATGTCAAAGAATAATGCAATAATTCTTCAAATGACAGAAGTGTAGAAACCCATGAAACAAACCTTTAAAACGATCAACGTGCTCTCACTGCGCTGGCCTCGTCCTTAAACCATTCTCCTGTGTGATGAAAGATATTTAAGGGAATGCACACATTTTCAAGCTCTAGATTTTCAGGTCTTGATACATTTGAAGATAATAGCCCAGAGGAAGATCCCTCCTTGTATGTTTGCAGGAAGTGTCTAATTTAAGACGAAGTTGAGTTGGAAAACAGTTTTTAATGTTGTGTCTTTGGAACACAGGACACATTTTTTTATGACCATTAATATCCTTGCCTTTCAAAATGACACTGATTCTAGGGGTCTTGCCTGGTACACAGCATGACTCCAGGCCTCATTGGACCAAACACTTGTCTCCTAGAAGCTGATCAGGGTGAAGATGTATACCTGCCTGTCCTCAGGTGTCTCAGTTCTCTAAATTTGTTACCTTTCTACAAATTAAGCATTTCATTGCTTAATGCAGTCTTTGTTGTGCTAGAAAGCAAGCCATCCTGATGAGCATCAGAGATCTGTTTTCACATCTGCAAAGAGATTTTTGTTAAAAATAATTTTTACTAAGTACACATGCTATGGTAGTATACACAAGAAGCACAGTGCCAAGTATATAGTGGGTGTAGAATAACTTATCACGCTTCCCCCTTCAATAGGCATCTCCCAAGTGAAGGCTGTTTTATTCTTCCCCAGGCCTTGCTTATGTCATGGTGTCCAGAGGTAGGAAGGCGGTATCCTTCTTGTTCCTTATTGCTGCTTCCAGAACATTCTCCTTCCCTTCTGCCTAGGACCTATGGCTTTGACTCTTATGTCATCAGCTTATTTTATCTATTACCCCGAGCAGCAGCTACACTCAGCATTCCAGGTTGCCCTACACCTTTACAGACAATTTTAGCTCCCGACTAAAAACGTCACTTCCTGGGGGCTGGGGATTTAGCTCAGCAGCACAGCACCTGCCTGGCAAGCACAAGGTCGTGAGTTCAATTCCTGGTACTGGAAAAAAAACAAAAAAAGAAAACTCATTTCCTGGCTGGGCATGGTGGTGCACGCCTATAATCCCAGCACTGCAGAGGCTGAGGAAGGAGGATCACCATGAGTTTGAGACCCGGCTGGGCTACACAAGCGAGTTAAGAGCCGGCCTGCACTGCATAGTGAGACCCTGTCACAAAAACAGAAAATCACTTTGTGAGCAATAACCTTGCCTTAATCCTTAACAATTTACTATAAACAAAGACATATTCATTTCCACCAATAAGATCTGGGCTTGTCCTTCTGCTCCATGCTTTAGACTGCCTTTCTTCAGAAAATTTCAAGTCCCACTCTGGTGGTCAGATCTACCCATGGGATACTTAAACCAGACCCAGGTACACTTAGGTCTCCTCCCTGATTCTCCCTTTCATCATGCTCTTCAGCTTCCCCCATTTTGTTCTTTTTGTTTTTTTTTTTTTTTTTTTCTCTGGTACCGGAACCGAACTCACGACTTTGCGCTTGCCAGGCAGGCGCTTTTAGCCACTGAGCTAAATCCCCAGCCCCTTCCCCCCTTTTGTAGTATTGAGCAAAGGCCCCAAGGAGCTCCCCCAGTGGTAATTGTTCGAGCGGGGCAGGTTGGCAAGTGGATTCCTCTGACAGCTTTCTGTCACTGTAACAAAATAGATGATAGAATCAGCTTGTAAAGATAAGATGTTTATTTTGGCTCACTGTTTTGGAAGTTGCAGCCCATGTTCAATTGGTCCTGTTGCTTTGGGCCTGTGGCAAGGCAGCACAATGTGGCAGAAGCACATAGTTGAGCAAAACCCCTCCCCTCATCATGAGCCAGGGAACAAACAGGAAAAGAGGAAGGGGCCAGGGTCACAGGCTCCTGTTTGGGGTATATCAAAAGACCCTCCACTAGACCCTATCTCTGGGTTCCACCACCTTCCACTGGTGCCACGGATGGGACCAAACCTTAGAGAGTCATTCAAGATCCAAACTGCAGGGGCTGGGGATTTAGCTCAGCGGCAAAAAGCGCCTGCCTGGCAAGCGCAAGGTCCTGAGTTCAGTTCCTGGTACCAGAGAAAAACCAAAAAAAAAAAAAAAAAAAAAAAAAAGATCCAAACTGCAGCACCACCCAAAGGTTTACACCACCAGTGTAAGAGAAATCAGAACTTGATCCTCTCCACCATTACCATCCTAGGGGACAGTGGAAAATGTACCTTAGTGCAACTAGAGAAAGAGAATGTGGGGATGGAGTAGGGGTTAGACATACTTACCTGAGAAATTGTAACTGAATGCAATCCTGGGGATTTGAACCTTTAGTCTCATGAAACTATGGGTTCTGTTTAATAATGAGCTGGTAATTTCTCAGGGCTCTGGTAGTAGGAAAAGTAAATCCCTTCTGGAGGGCCTTCCTTCATTTTAGACTTCAAAAAATTCCAGTGAATAAGTTTTTAATGAAAGTTAGAGACCCATTCTTTTGTAAGAAGTGTTTACATATATTAAACAATACAGTTTCATACAAATATTTCAATCACTTTTCTTTGTCTTTTACAGGATGGCTTGAAACCAAATGTACTTTCTGTTAATACTCAGAACCATGGCCTTGCTAAAGATAACTCTAAATACATGCATTACAATTTGTTTAAAGCTTCGGTGGCAATAATCAGGAAAGGAGTAGGTAAGTTATTCTTTATAAACTGATTAAAAATAAGTGGAAGAAATAGTAAATAAGTGTAATATGGCCTCATGTGCCCTGATGGAGGTAGTTTCTGACCTGGAAGGGTGATTGCTATATCCAAATAATATCCTGTCTGGGACTTCTGTGACCACAGAGGCAAGAACTGCCAGTCCCCTTCCCATCTGACACAGTACTGCCAGTCTCCTTTACCTGATAGCAAGGTCTTTTAAAATCTATAAAAGCAACTGCAAAAATTGAAGCCATGCTCTTCTTTTTAGCTCCTACATAGACTTCTTTTACTGAAACTCATTATTTCTTTCAAGGGTACATTCGTCCAAGAGTAGATGTGCAGCTCACTGGACAGAGGAAGTGGTAGCAAGGCCTGTTATTGGTGGTAAAGACCCCTATCAGCAGCTAGCAAGTCTTTTCTTGGTGCACAGATTTCTCCAGCTCCTTCTTAATTTCTCCCTAGCTAACTCCAGACTGCACTACCATCTTCATCCTGGAAGTCTGGGTAATGCTTATCTAGACTTCCAGCTTCCACAGAAAACTGAAAGAGTAAACAAGATCTAAAATGTGCAATAGATATTGTAAAATGGCAAGAAACTTCAAAAGGGAAGAGAAACTGGGATGTGGGAATGGAGAAAAGAAGAATGGTAAAAACAAGCAAACAAATAAATATACATAAATATACAGGCAAGTTTCTCTGCCTCTGTATAATAGTTAAGATAGTTACCCCTACTCATTTCTCTCAGTTCATTGAAAAGAAAGTTGTGTGCTAATACTGTTTGGACAACTAAATGATGATCTCTTGCACTCTGAGTAACTAATTTCAAGATAACAATATACAGTGTCTTAACCATTGTTACGCTCCTATTAGCTTGTTTTGAAATTTTGGTTTTTTTCTCTTTAAAATTAAAAAAATTAAAAAATAAAGAAATGTATTACCACACAACAGAGGTAGGTCTGTTTCAGGTGTAGTACACGGAGCTCTGGCTCCACTTCTCTAAAAATCTCTCACATCCTTCTTATTTTGTTATTAGACTACCTCCTTTCCACAGTTATTTGCACAAGTTTTGTTTGTCACATTCAGGCACCATAACATCTAATAGCAGAAACAGGATTTCTTTTATTCATTTCTATTTTCAGGAAGGTTTTCAGAAAATCTTCCACCAAAGTTTCTCTAGAAGTCTTCTGTTCAAGTGTCACTGGCCAGAATGGCGTAACACATCAGTGCGTAAGTGAATCTCCAGAAAGGAGCAGAGGATGGCACTGTTGGTTTGGACCAGTTGAGGTATAAGGAGGCCAGCCCCTAAAGCACAGGGTCTTGTGAGAAACAGTGGATCCCAGTTTCAAAGTTCTGTTGTTCTCACCCAAGGAAGGATATTCCAGGGCATGTTCTCCATCAGCTCTGAGAGGGTCTTCTGTGGGATGAAGTCCAGTTGCCCATAGCAAGTGCTGGATTATGCAGTCACCATTTACTAAGTTTCCTCTCTTCTCTGTCCAGTGTTCCCATCTGCTAGCTGTTCTTTATGGCATCATCTCTCCCGTGCATTAGCATGCACACAGATCTTAAGCCCAGATCAACTACACTGCCGAACGAAGCTCTGTGCATCTGGCTCCCATCTCCCTTTCTAGCCCTTTGCCCCAACATTTCCAATATGAATCTTATGTCTTTGATGTTGGTGAGTAATGGCCACATCATAAAGACTCAGCAAGTTTCTCTGCCTCTGTGCAAAGTCACCCAGCTCCATCCACTGCCCAGAGTACCAAACATGGCCCTCCCTCCTGCCCTTTACTAACCATTTAGGCAAAAATGTCCTTCCCAGCTCCATTCTCTAATGGCTCTTCAGTTCAACTGCATATCACATCATCACTTACCAGCTTGACCATAAATAATTCTGTCTCATTTCCTATATTACAGCAGCTTTAGAGATCAAGGACATTAGATCTTTTACAATGTTAAATCTTGCAAACTGCACTACACAATGCCTTCCATGTGAAAGGTTCTAAATACCTTTTGAATAATTGTTCGAGCATTTAATTAATCTTCTACATTCTTTCATGAACAATACTTTCCAAAATAAGGATTATCAAGAGCCTTTCTATATGAGGGAATTACAGCTTTAAATTCTGTAAACCTTTGGAGGGCTCATTGCACTACAGTACACTACAAAATTCCCAGCGTCCCAACGGTTCTTTGACTTAGATCAAAAAACATAAATACCACCTTTGCGGCAAGAGTAAAGAATTTTTTCCTTCTCTTTTTCTTTTAGTGACTTTTACTGCTGCTCTAAGCACTACAGAGAGTGTTCTAAATGCTCTGTATCCAAATGATTTATAGCTCAAATCTGAATATTCCCATTGGGTTTTCCACATTTTCACTGGCTGGATGTTCCTTTTTAACATTCTACCATAGGTCTGCTAATGTATTGAGTTCTATTAAATTGTTTTCCTGCTCAAGGGAGAATTATTGTTTTCATGTTCAGAATTTGTCTTGCATAATCTTTTTGTTCCAAATTAGCATTCTAACACTCTGCTTTTCTATTTTAATAATAGACACACTGATTTCTCTATATGATCCCTCTATTAAAAATGCATAGAGTAAGCTCTTGTGAAGGTAGGCTCACTTCTATTTTTAGCATGATCTAGAGGTATTGGAGGTGACCAACTTTCAAGTCACAAATGGCTTCTTATTTTAAGAAGCAGAAACACTGCAAATCTTAATGATGGAAACATTGGTATTAATAGTTTGTGTAATTTGCTTTTTCTTTCTCTACAATTAGGCTAAAGCCATTGTCTGCAGATAAAAATGTTTTTAAATATTACGCATCCCCACACTTTACTCCAGTCCCACGAAGAGTGTCTTTTTGTTCCCTATATAACAACACATCCTATATGGATGTTAAATCTCACCCAATGCAATTCAAGCTCATTGTTATATAAATTGGCAGTGCTTTTATATAGCTCCTGAGAAGTTAGCAGAAGCTTACTGCCTATTTTCTGTGTACTTGTCACTGATTCCACAAACCCCAAGAAGGTGATCTTAGTTATTTTTCTTGTTGCTGAGACAAAATACTCAACACCCAAAATTAAGGAAAGGTTTATTTAGCTCACAGTTTGTAGATGTTTCAGTCCATTATCAACTGACTCACCTGGCAGAGGAGCAACAGTTCATGGCAGTAAAAACAGCAAAAGCAATAAGGGAAAATGGAGGAAGCAAGCCTCGCCTCCTCCCTTATATTGTATGCAGGCTACATTCCCTAGGGCAAGTGTAGCACTCACACCCCCAATCCCAGCACTAAACCAAGAACCAATCACAAACTGTAGATTTGGCTCTCTCTGAAAAGTCCACCCCCATAACTGCACAAGGCTTTGGGGAGACATCCAGACACAAACCATAACATTATACCCCTACACCCAAAGACTAATATACCTCCTTTTATGCAAATGACATTTAATGCATCTCTAAGAATTGCCAAAGTCCTAACAGTTTCACCATTGCTGAAAAGTCCAAATCCCAAGTCTCCTATAAGATGTAAGGCAAACTCTGAATTGTGAGCCCCTGCACAAAGGAAAAGAAAGCTAATCACTTCCAACATTCAATGGCACAAGATAGATATTTCCATTCCAAAAGTTACAAAGCAAGTCCAAAATCCAGCAGGGCAAACATTCTGTGATAATCCTTGAGAGTTTTGGTAGTAGGTAGCTATATCACTAGTATCAAGGCCTCTCCAGGAAAAGTCTGTACTTCAGGGATATCTTCTGTGCATAGGAGATTCTTAGTTTATGTCTGTCCCAAGATCCTAAATTCCCAATTAATTGAGAATGGGATGTTGGTATCTGTTTGACTCAGTCCCCAGCCTTTTGGTGTAGGGCTATGGTGAGGTTATTACCTCAGAGCTTCCTAATACTGTTACACAAGGGAGAACTGATTACAACAGATATGACATCCTAGCTACAGTAGTACAATTAGCAATAAGCACAATTTAGAAACTGACAAACTGTGGTAACTGTTGATATTGTACTTTAGATCACAGAAGCGAAGTCTATAGTTTTAAAAGATCTTGTTGTAAGTTAGGAGTTTGTAGGCAAAGCGTTTCCCCTTGTTAGAGTAGATTTACCCTGGGTTCTTCTGGACAAGATGGTTGCTGTGTCCTATATCCAGCTTCCCACGCTGGATGCCCCATTCCCAGTGTAGGAGTATGGTCCAGGCACCAGGATTCCTCCAGACTAAGGCTCCCTGGGTGGCAGAGGGGTAGTGGGTGGGGTTTGTCCCCTCCCATATGGCTCACTGAGGCTCACCAAGGCTCACCATGGCCCCCATGATGATAGGCCAGTAGGGCACACATTAAGTCCTGTAATTCCATGTATAACATCGAGGCAATCTGGGGTAAGTTGTGAACTCCAATGGGCTTGGGTGCCTTCACCTCTACATGCTGCTGGTGGTAGTAGCTCCTGCAGCTTCTCTCTTGGGCTGGCTTTCCTCCCTCCTTGCAGGTTTCCTCAGATGATCCACATTCCTACCTTCTCCAAACTTCTGGGGTCTCCACTGCACCTTTGGCTTCAACTCACAGTTTCACACACTGGCCTCTCAGGAACACACTGCCCAGGCTCCCAGGCCCTTTCATAAAATCTGTATGGAAGCTTTCTTAACCTCACAACTCTTGCATTCTGCATCCACCTAAAACCAGCACCACATGGATGATGCCAAGGTCTGCAGCCAGGCTTCCCTCTCTCTTGGCTATAGGGGTCAAGTGCCTGGATTGCTGAGTGCTCTGAATCTAATTGCAAGGAACAAATTCTCTAGGCCATTGCCATTCTGGGACATGGTGCCTTTGGACTCTCTTCTCAAAGCAGAGTCTTTCACTTTTGCAATTTTCAGGCAGCAAATGGTAGAGTCCTGTTGCTTCTTGTGATGCCCTCAGGCCATCTTTTCTATTCTCCTGTTCTTTTTCAGCAATCAAGATCTCCTCTGTTCTTATCTCTGCAGTCCATAGCTTTAGTGGAGCTTTCTTTCTGACCAAACTCACAGTGTTTTAAATCATTCTGCTAGGCTCTTTGTTCATGATTCTCAACATAAATCTGGCTGAAAGCCCCCCACAGCAGCCATACTACAGCCTCAACATTAGACTGCTTTAAAATTTCTTCTGCCAGGTTCATTAGTCTGCTGACCTTAATCTCAGCCTCAGGCAAAATCTCTGGACATGAGCAAAATGCAGACAAACTTTCTGCCAAGTCATAACACACATCATTTAGAGTCCAACAACCAATGCAGTCCTTCCCAGCAGAAACTGCCTCAGCCTGGTCTTTACTAGTAGGATTTCTGTCAGCCTTCTGGTCTTCTGAGCTTTGACCAGAATCTCCCATACAGAACAGCCTAAAGTGTCCCAGCTGTACTTTTTCAAGTGACAGCTCCAAACCTTCCCAAACTCTTTTCACAAGCCACTCCCAAAGGTTCTCAAACCACATGGTCAGGTATAGTCACAGCAACGACTCCACTTCTCTCTCACCAAATTGTGTTAGTTACTTTTCTCTTGTTGCTGAGATAAAATACCCGAGACCCAAAGTTAAAGGAGGAAAGCTTTATTTAGCATAAAATTTGTAGAGGTTTTAGTCCATAATCAACTGGCTCTAAGGCAAGGTGGTGAAGCAAAGGGACAACCAGTCATGGCAGTGGAAGACAGGAAAAGCAATAAGAGCAAGAGGGAGGAGCAATCCTCTTTTCCTCCCTTATATTGTTCCTCCCTTGTATTGTATGCTACCTGCCCTAGGGCAGGTGTAACACTCACACCCCAATCCCAGCACTAGACCATGAACCAATCACAAACTCTAGATTCAGCTGCCTCCAAAAAGTTAGCCCCCCTTGACCACAAGAGGTTTTGGGTGGACATCCAGACATAAACCATAAAACCACCTTTATGACTGATACAAAGTCAAATCAAGCTCGTACTAGGCTGTTGTCAATTTCCAAAGAGGGAGTAGGGAGATTCCCTTTCTTATTAGGTCTAAGCTGCTGTTTACTGACAGCTCTTTGTTTAGGGCTGGGGAGCACTTACAGGTTCTCTTAGAGGTGGCTGAGGAAGCTGGGTGTGGTGGCATGTATTTTAATCTCAGCACTCTGGGAGGCTGATCCAGGAAGTTGTCAAGCTCAAGCCCAGCCCAGGAAATTTAGCGATTTAGAATCTATTTCAAAATTTTAAAAACTTTAAAAAGGGCTAGGGATGTAGCTCAGTGGCAGAGTACTTTCCCCTTGCCTAGCATAGGTTCAACCTCCACTACAAAAAAAGATGACAGTACTGGGGAAGTTTTTATGTTTCTTTCCATGCTCTTCTCACACACCCCACTGGAAGTGGAGTCCTGTTACTAATGAGGGCCTTGCAAGTGTGGAGTACTCCATCTTATCCCTCTAGCTCAGTTCCTTAGATAGCACCTTCATGCTGTGTCACTCCTACTTCCAGAATAGCGAGCTCGTCTCTGAAGATTTTCTAAGGATGTAGCACAGAGACCTTGGAGGAGTGGAAATTAGTCCAGGATTTCCATCTCAAAAGCACATTTCTTAATATAGAGACCTCAAATATGCACTTACTCAGGTTGCCCTAGAGGCAATTTGGACTCAGCATTGGAAGTAGTAGATATTCTAGACCACTGGTTTCTGGTTTCCAGAAAATAGACTGAAGAGGCTTTTCTGATAAATCAATCCACAGGTGAAGACCAGGAGGCTGTAGGGGACAGTTTTCAGGAAGTACCAGGAGAGGACTAGAACTTGGCATGCAGGCCAAAGGTCATTTTGGATTTTAATATGATCTCCAAGTCCACCTTCTACTTACTATACTTCCAGAAGAAAAGAAGGTACAGATTCTCTATAACAGGGGGCTCAGAAGTCAGTGGGAATGGGCAAATGTTTTAGAAGTGATTGCACTGAGACTTCAGAGTCCCTGGGAAGCACTTAGGGTAGAAGAGCCACCATGACAAGCTTCTACCTATGTCCTTATGGAAGGCCTTGACTTCAGAGATGATGGACACCTGCCTGACAGAACAAGGCCCAGTCAGCAGGCCAAAGTCACAGATGTCTCTGGGGTAGGAAGTCAGGACACCTGTACTTCCTCTCCCCTGGAAACACCTGCATGTAAACAGGTTATCTGTTGTGGATCCCTAGAGGAAGGGCACTAGGTTAGCAGAGCTCCTGGACCATAATGAAATCTCCCATTGATGCAGGGCACCAGGAAGAAAGAAGTCTGGCATCTTGGCTGTGGGCCCTGGTGACCTGGGCTGGTCTCAGATGTGGGGCAGGACTGAACTCCAAGCTGAAAACTATGAAGGATGATCTGAGAGGCAGCCTCAGGAATGAAACCAGAGTCACAAGCCAGCACACAGTACAACTGAGGCATCAATCCAACCAGGCTGCACAGGTGACACCCCAGGGCTGAGGCCTATGTCAGGGGAGAGCCTGCAAACGATAGAAAAGGATCAGGAGACTAACTTAGGGCAAAGGAGTGGGAGAGATTGGAAGAAAATAAAATCATAGGAAGAACTAAAGACACAGACTTGGCAGAGACCGGAGCTGGGAGACAGCTGAACTCAGAATCTTCTTTTTGGACTTTGCCTTCCAAAAGAGTCAACTGCTTCTCTGTATAGACTTGTGTGAATGACCTGGAATCCCAAGAACTTGGAAAGACCCAGCCTACACCATGATAGGTGGTGGGGTGAGTGGAGAGCTCCCTGGCTGATGTGTGTACTGTGACCACAGGGAGATGTACGTGGATACAGAACAGAGACTCTGGAGGGCAGAGGCAAGCTCTCCATTACAGGGCAGCAGAATGCCTGTCAGGAGGTGGGGGCTGGAAGGAAGGAGAGAGTGCAAAGGAGGAGAGGCTTTGATGCAAGGGTCCTCCTCCCACACTCCCAGTGAGGCTGAGGAAGCTGCTCAGGCAGATGGAGTGGCCATCAAGTCAGGCAGGTGGCCTGTAGGGCACAATGGCCCCTGTCTTTCTTGGTTGATTCTCAAAGCATATGGTGTTGATACTGAAAATCCGCACCCCAGATTCATAGCAGAGAGCAATTCTAACATAAAAGCCTCTGTTGCTCATTTCTTGTCAAAAGCTCAGTTGTGACTAAAAAATATCTATGAAGGAACTGAAAGCCATTTACTGCACCCATGTGATACATTTAATGTTACACCTGAATTACATCAGTCCAACTGGGAAAGCTAACCTGGGGGTACTTTACTTTAAAAAAAAAATATTTACACTTTGCCAATTTAAAAAAATTATTCTTATGTATTTGTATTATTATGCCATTGGCTTGCATATAAGGATATTTTAAGAAACATTAATCTCATTGGTTTTGTTTTGTTTTTGAGACAGAATAGACAGGGTGTAGTTCAGGCTGGCCCTGAACTCACTATGTAACACAGGCTGGTCATGAATTTTCAGTAATCTTCCCACCCCTCATTAGTTTTGAAATGACAGCAAAGGCTTTGGTCACTAGATCAGGTGGCATAACCACTAAGTGGAAGAAAAGACCTTACCTTTCAATTCTTAGCATCAATACAAATTGATACACATCTACACAAATGGTTTATTTTACCCTAATTACACTTTATCCTGTGATATAGATTTTGGTAACACTTCTCCAGGTCTTTCTGGAGTGTTTCAGGGTATACATAATTAAGAATATAGGCAAAATTATTTTTTCAACTTTTTTAGATCAAAGTGTTGCTATGTTAATGATTTTGAAGGCTAAAAAAACTGAAAGCTTTACAATCATCAAACTAGATGATATTTAAAAATCTCATAGTAATACTACAAAATATACCCAAAACTACAGATCAATCTCAATCACTGAAAAAGTTCTGAATAATCTCAATAAATTGAACTTGGCATTAGAAAAAAATACCCATAGATTCATAACTTTTATCAGGATGAAAACACATTCAAGTATTAGGACATGTAGTGATAATCTTATAGTCTTCTTTTTGATAACCTTATAAGAAAATCCAATGGTTGTATCTCAATATATGTCAAAATGCTAACCCTTTTAGCATTAGTTTATGGCTCAGTCCTTTTCTGTTTAAAAATAGAAAAGTCCAGGAAAATATTTATGTCAAACTGACACTATGTTGTCTTGATAGAGCAAACACTGGCGCATTCCCTTAAAATCAGAAATAAACTAAAGAGGCCCACTATCATCCACATTGCTTACTTAATTTTACAAGGTCTTGCCAATGGAATACGACTATGTACTAAAGATTTGAGACATCATAATAAGGAAAAAATGAAAATCATTGAATGTAGGTACTAAGACTGCATACATATAAGCATCAGAAAAAAGATAGGTGCACAATTAAGTAAAATGGACAGTAAATATCCTTATTTTGTAAGCTTTACTAAAATAAATTTCACATAGTTTATTATAAAATCACTAATGAAATTAAATGCTAGGTAAGAATTGAAATTAATATCTAACAAGACTCTCAATCTGTGAGGGAT